AAGTCAGTGGAGAAGAAGAGCAGAGGGCCATGGATGAAGTCAGGAGTACGCCAACCACCTGGGAGAGCATTCATGGATGATATGACAATAACAACCAAAACAGTTATTGAAGCCAAGTGGACAATACATGAACTAGAATCAGCTATCACTTGGGCAAGAATGAAAGTAAAACCAAGCAAGTCACGTAGCTTAGTGATAAAGAATGGAAAAGTAAAAGAAGTAAGATTCATGATTGAAGGAGAGGCAATACCAACAGTCTCAGAGAAGCCAGTAAAGTGTTTAGGGAAATTCTTTAATGACACATTAACAGACAGACAAAATGTGAAAGATACATGCAGACAGCTGGATGAATGGATGAAGACTGTGGATAAAAGTGGACTGCCCGGTAAATATAAAGCCTGGATATACCAACATGGGATACTACCTCGCTTGCTGTGGCCGCTATTGGTGTATGAGGTACCAGTGAGCACAGTAGAAGGGATGGAAACAACAGCGAGCAGATACCTGAGGAGATGGCTGGGGGTACCACGAAGTTTCAGCAGCATTGGATTATACAGCTCTGGGACTAAGGCCATATAAAATTAATCTTTAGATTCTCATCCCCGCCCGCCCCTCTCAAAATGTCCCACCCCGATGTTTTTTATTTTGATTTTTGGGTATTTTCATGTATTTTTATTCAGTAAGAATTTGTTTCAAAGTTTAAGAGTTATCTCCCGTCTCTATTAAAAGTCGCGTGTCGCTATTTATAGCAAAAACGCCATGTGAAGAATGGAGAAAAATCGGCAATAAAAGCAGTTTAAATGTGTAAGGAAAAGATAATTTGTCAGTATAGAGAAGGCAGAGAAGAAAAATTAGCATAAACACATATAGATACCATCACTGGCAGGAGCAAGTATGTAGAGAGATTGTAACTAAGTAAAAATAGACAAGGAAAGTCAAGTTATATATAACGATCTCCAGCTGTGTGACTTAGCTTTGAAATAAAAAAAATCTACAACATCGTAGACAGACTTAAGAGAAGGCCTAGATTTTTCAGTAGAATAATTATTAGAACATTTATATAGATTTTGCAAAATAAGAAGTCACGCATACACAATTTATTGGTATCCCCACCTCATTTTGTTCAGGGTGTGCCGTATAAAGTGTACTTGATAATTTGTTAATTAACAATAAATATTTAACTTTAATAAAGAAAAAAAATTCTTTAAATATTTAAAGAATATGAAAAAAATTAAATCTATTCATATTTGCATTAAGGTAATGAAAAAAATGTGTACAGGGCGTCCATTGTTTTGTTGATACTTAATTAGGCCTATATATAAATTAACAATTATAAAAAATAAAAAATAAAATCCGCCCACCCGCCCCAATTTTTTTGCAAATTAGGATGAGAATCTAAAGATTAATTTTACCTGGCCTAAGCTACAGTTACCTATAAAGTCAATAACTGAGGAATTCAAGGTGACAAAGGTGCGTCAGCACCTAATGTTACAGAATAGCAAAGACGAGAAGGTTAGGACAGCAAAAGTAGATATCAGGACGGGGAGAAAATGGTCAGTAAAAGAAACTGTACAAGAAGCAGAATCCCGCTTGAGACACAGTGACATTGTTGGAAGACTGGCAATAGGAAGGCAGGGACTTGATGTCACACCAACAGCAAGATGGGGTACAGCTTCGGTAGAGGAGAAGCGTAGTTTGGTGCAGAGAGAGGTGCGTGCAATGGAGGAAGATTCGAGAATGGTCAAAGCAGTGGGAATGAAGAAACAAGGCAGCTGGGTGAACTGGGATAATGCACGTCAAGTGAAGTTGGGATGGAATGATATTTGGAAGATGGAACCATTCAGACTTCAGTTTAAGCTGAAATCAGTTTATGATGTTCTTCCCAGCCCAACTAACCTGGCAACATGGGGAATGACAGAAGATCCAAATTGTGTCCTCTGTGGTAGACCAGCAAACTTGGAGCACATATTATCAGCATGCTCAGAGGCTTTGAAAGATGGGAGATACACTTGGAGACATGATAGAGTCCTAGCCAGTATAGCTGACACCTTGGAGAAAGGTATTAAAAGGCCAAAGAAGAATGCAGAGAGCCTGAGATTCGTCAACTTTGTGAAAGAAGGTGAAAAGGGACATAAAGCTAGAGTTGAAGGAAGTGGTCTCTTGGGGACAGCAACAGATTGGCAGATGCGGGTAGACCTTAAGGAAAGATTAGTATTTCCGCCGGAAATAATAGCCACAAACAAGAGGCCGGATGTAGTCCTTTGGTCAATGGCTACAAGACAGACAATTATTTTGGAGTTAACAGTGCCATGGGAAGAAAGGATGGAGGATGCATATGAAAGGAAAAATCTTAAGTACCAAGACCTACTGAAAGATTGTCAGCAGAACGGATGGAAGGTCTGGTTTTTTGCAGTGGAAGTGGGTTGTAGAGGATTCGTGGGACAGTCTATTGGCATAACGGGAGCAGAGAGAAGGAGGCTGATAAGGAATCTGTGCAGGGAGGCAGAATCAGCGTCCATGTGGTTGTGGAGAAGAAGAGCAGATAAGTGGAAAGACAATAAACATTAGTGAGATAGACAGTAAAGGTAGAACAGCAGTGATGTGAAAAACAACAGTAAGACAGACACTGAATTAGTACAGCAGTGATGTAGAGCCAAGTGGTTCCAGGCTGGGACTTGATCACCCCAGTCGGCGCACCTCTGGAGGCTGTAGTGGACAGCGCCGAAACAGCTGATGAAGGAGGATCCACCTGAGGATGGAACCACGCATCTTTCCATCAAGATGTATACAAGTAATATTATCTGGGAAACCAGTGACAGCCAGGAAAGTCTGGATGACTACTGAGAAAAGTTCAGTGACAACCTGGAGAGACAGGAGACAACCAGGAGAGACTGGGATCAGGGGTGTGGAGGCTTGGCAGGCCAAAGCACAACTTCCGTGAGGAAGGACCCATTTCATCACGCTATGGACAGATACATACTTAGATACCCCCGAGGTCGCGCGAGAGCGGGGGAGGATGAGCGACCTGTTGGGACGGAAAATCAGGATACAACCAGGCAACGAAAAACGACGACGAATACGAACAGTGGAAATGTATGCAGCTGTGGGAAAGTATGCAAGAATGAAAAGGGGCTTAAAATCCACATGGGGAGGATGGGATGTAAGCCAGATCAGCAGCTAACACAACGCACAGGGCAACCTGGTGAGACGGAGGAGGAAGTGGTTCAGGATGAAAACCACAGCGACCGCAGCCTCCATGTGTTAGGTAATGACGAGGCTTCATACAGCGAAAGCCATGACAGTGAGGACAATAACCAATCACAGAGCATCAATCAACAGCAAGAGATGGGAGACAACAGGGGTGCTGACAGTAATATAAGAAAGAAGAAAGTAAAATGGCCCAACAGTAACAACAAAAGCGACTGGGAACAGTTTGACAAAGATGTGGATGCAATTCTGAACACAACCCTTGCAGGCAGTATTGACAGGAAAATAGAAGCTATGACATCAATTATATACAGCGTGGGTCTAGACAGGTTTGGTGCAGAACAAAGGAAAAAGTCACAAAAAGAAGGAAGGAAGAACAGGAGAGAGAGAGAAATAGCTAAGATGAGAAAAGACCTGCGGCAGCTTCGTAAGCAGTATAGGAAGGCTACCGATGAGGAGAAACCGGCCCTATCACAGTTACGAGATAACATCAGGGAACATCTCAAGATAGCAAGAAGAGCAGAGAGAAGTAGGCGTAGAAGGAAACAGCAAGACAGAGCAAGAGCAAGATTCACAGCAGACCCATTTCAGTTTACATCAAGATTACTGGGAAATAAAGGGTCCGGATCATTGAAATCTTCAAAGGAAGACGTTGAGGAATATTTGAGGGAGATGCACAGTGATCCACATAGGGAGGAAGAGTTAGGGGAATGGGAGAAGTTGATACAACCGGAAGAACCAAATCAACCCTTTGATGAATCACCACCAAAACTAAAAGAAGTAGCAGATGTTATCAAGAAAGCCAGAGGAGCATCAGCGCCAGGACCAAATGGTGTTCCTTATAAAGTTTATAAGAATTGTCAACGGTTGACAAAGCGCCTCTGGAAACTGATAAGAGTGATTTGGAGGAGGGGCAGACTGGCAGATAGCTGGTACAGAGCAGAAGGTTGTTTTATTCCCAAAGAAGAGAAATCAGAGGCATTGAAACAATTTAGGACTATATCGCTCCTGAACGTAGAAGGGAAGATATACCTCGCAATTTTAGCGAGGAGAATGTCTAGGTACATGCTTGAGAATCAGTATATTGATATCGCTGTTCAGAAGGGAGGAGTACCCGGAGTATCAGGATGTATTGAGCATACAAGTGTACTGACACAGATTATCTGGGAAACAAAGGAGTCTAAAGGGGAGTTGGCAGTCATCTGGCTAGATCTTGCCAATGCATATGGGACAGTTCCCCATAAACTAGTCGAGCTGACACTTGAAAGATACCATGTACCAGAGAAGACGAGGGTAGTTTTAAAAGACTATTTTGACCATCTTCAACTAAGATTCACAGCACAGGATTACACAACAGCATGGCAACGCTTAGAAGTTGGAATAGTCACAGGATGCACCATATCCGTAATCCTATTTTCAGCAGCAATGAACATGATAGTCAAGTCAGTGGAGAAGAAGAGCAGAGGGCCATGGATGAAGTCAGGAGTACGCCAACCACCTGGGAGAGCATTCATGGATGATATGACAATAACAACCAAAACAGTTATTGAAGCCAAGTGGACAATACATGAACTAGAATCAGCTATCACTTGGGCAAGAATGAAAGTAAAACCAAGCAAGTCACGTAGCTTAGTGATAAAGAATGGAAACGTAAAAGAAGAAAGATTCAAGATTGAAGGAAATGCAATACCAACAGTCTCAGAGAACCAGTAAAATGTTTAGGGAAATTCTTTAACGACACATTAACAGACAGACAAAATGTGAAAGATACATGCAGACAGCTGGATGAATGGATGAAGACTGTGGATAAAAGTGGACTGCCCGGTAAATATAAAGCCTGGATATACCAACATGGGATACTACCTCGCTTGCTGTGGCCGCTATTGGTGTATGAGGTACCAATGAGCACAGTAGAAGGGATGGAAACAACAGCGAGCAGATACCTGAGGAGATGGCTGGGGGTACCACGAAGTTTCAGCAGCATTGGATTATACAGCTCTGGGACTAAGCTACAGTTACCTATAAAGTCAATAACTGAGGAATTCAAGGTGACAAAGGTGCGTCAGCACCTAATGTTACAGAATAGCAAAGACGAGAAGGTTAGGACAGCAAAAGTAGATATCAGGACGGGGAGAAAATGGTCAGTAAAAGAAACTGTACAAGAAGCAGAATCCCGCTTGAGACACAGTGACATTGTTGGAAGACTGGCAATAGGAAGGCAGGGACTTGATGTCACACCAACAGCAAGATGGGGTACAGCTTCGGTAGAGGAGAAGCGTAGTTTGGTGCAGAGAGAGGTGCGTGCAATGGAGGAAGATTCGAGAATGGTCAAAGCAGTGGGAATGAAGAAACAAGGCAGCTGGGTGAACTGGGATAATGCACGTCAAGTGAAGTTGGGATGGAATGATATTTGGAAGATGGAACCATTCAGACTTCAGTTTAAGCTGAAATCAGTTTATGATGTTCTTCCCAGCCCAACTAACCTGGCAACATGGGGAATGACAGAAGATCCAAATTGTGTCCTCTGTGGTAGACCAGCAAACTTGGAGCACATATTATCAGCATGCTCAGAGGCTTTGAAAGATGGGAGATACACTTGGAGACATGATAGAGTCCTAGCCAGTATAGCTGACACCTTGGAGAAAGGTATTAAAAGGCCAAAGAAGAACGCAGAGAGCCTGAGATTCGTCAACTTTGTGAAAGAAGGTGAAAAGGGACATAAAGCTAGAGTTGAAGGAAGTGGTCTCTTGGGGACAGCAACAGATTGGCAGATGCGGGTAGACCTTAAGGAAAGATTAGTATTTCCGCCGGAAATAATAGCCACAAACAAGAGGCCGGATGTAGTACTTTGGTCAATGGCTACAAGACAGACAATTATTTTGGAGTTAACAGTGCCATGGGAAGAAAGGATGGAGGATGCATATGAAAGGAAAAATCTTAAGTACCAAGACCTACTGAAAGATTGTCAGCAGAACGGATGGAAGGTCTGGTTTTTTGCAGTGGAAGTGGGTTGTAGAGGATTCGTGGGACAGTCTATGTGGAGAGCACTGAGAGCCATTGGCATAACGGGAGCAGAGAGAAGGAGGCTGATAAGGAATCTGTGCAGGGAGGCAGAATCAGCGTCCATGTGGTTGTGGAGAAGAAGAGCAGATAAGTGGAAAGACAATAAACATTAGTGAGATAGACAGTAAAGGTAGAACAGCAGTGATGTGAAAAACAACAGTAAGACAGACACTGAATTAGTACAGCAGTGATGTAGAGCCAAGTGGTTCCAGGCTGGGACTTGATCACCCCAGTCGGCGCACCTCTGGAGGCTGTAGTGGACAGCGCCGAAACAGCTGATGAAGGAGGATCCACCTGAGGATGGAACCACGCATCTTTCCATCAAGATGTATACAAGTAATCTATTTACCCTTTATTTCTATCTGTACATAAATTTAAATACCTGCAAAATTATTTTCTTTATCCCCCTCCCCTAAAAAAGAATGACAAATTTGTGAGAGATTAGTATTTTGTCAATAAAATAATAAAACATGTGCACTATCAATATTTTGTTACACAGACCCAAATAATTGTACAGACTATGTCGTGGTTCTATTTTTAGACGGTTCCAAGCATGCTAAAATGTTTATGAAAAGCTACTTATATAAAATTCCCATCGATAATTAACCGCAAATAAACATTAATTTATAATTTAAAAGTATATATATATAACATATATTACTTCTGTTGTTTTTATATTTATTTTTTAGCAGATCGGCTTTTTTGCGTCATTCATTCATCTGTTCATTCATTCAATGTAAATATTTTTGTGTTGATAACTTGATGACTGTATTGCTCAACATTCAGGTACTATATCTCATATCATTATTTTTCAATAACTTGTGTCATTTATACAAAAGGGTATTACAAGATTAATTTGACCACCTTACCTATGAATCATTCACTGGCTTCCTAGCGGTCTACCCTTTGGCAATGGCAGCCCCCGTCACACCGGTAGGCCTCACGTTACACCTTCCGGAATTTACCGAGAAGAACCGAATGCGTTTGAATCACAGATGGTTGGGCCAATGGTGTAATGGTTTGACAGATAAGTCGCCCCATTCACTCTGGTACAATTTACCCCAACTCGGAAGAACTTATAAACTAGAAACCCAGAAATTACCAACAGACCATAGGATGATTTTTTTTACATCGGGCTCGAAAAGCAGGGGGCGTGGTAAAGATTGAAATGACGATAATTTGATATAGGTGTTTTGGACTCTAAAAATGTCTTTAAACTTAGCCGCAACGCCAGCGTAAGTATTTTGTGTAAGAGAAGGGGATAAAAAAATATATTTTCAACAGGTTTCTTACAGTTTTCAATTAATCATGATCAGTGTAATGAACATTTCACTAACTAAAAAAAAGCAGGGGTTAGAGTCAGAGGAATCTCGGATTATCAAATATGGTGATGAGTGATAATTATATATACGAATAGTATTCAAACTCAAAGTCCAATTAAGCAATACAGATTAGTAGCAGGACATTACATGGGCTTCCAAAATATATATCCGAGGGGCCATGCAGGTATCAGGTGCCATGATAGATAGGCCCCTATCCCATACGGAAAAAAGGGCAAACAAACTACTATAACAAATTACTAACAAACCACTATGGTTTGAAAGTAGTTTAATAGTATAGCAAATCACATGCAAATGAGCTAACAAACTATACTCTAACAAACTACTATCAAACCACTTTAACAAACTACTATCAAACCACCCTAACAAACTACTATCAAACCACTCTAACAAACTACTATCAAACCATTCTAACAAACTACTATCAAATCACTCTAACAAACTACTATCAAACCACTCTAACAAACTACTAACAAATCACTGGTAACAAATCCATCAGGCTAGTGTCAGCAAAACACATTCACTAAATTTGAATTTTCCTTTACAAATCCACAAGTCTTTGAAAACACCTAAAACAGTCACATTTTGAAATAATCAACAAGTCTTGTTTCAGAGTATTTTAAATTCCAGGATTGACAAGTTTAGCCAATGCAAGTGCAACATTCCAACATGTTCCCTTTTGTTTAGGAGATGCAATTCCAAGTAAACATCCATGTACTTAATTATCACATACTCTCTTTCTTGTTGTGCACATCTTCATAGTATTTTTCACCAAAAAAATGTTCAAGCTGACATTTAAATATTCCCTGCTTCATCTGGCATGGAAAATGCTGCGCGCAATATTTCCTTTTTTCTGGCCTTATTGCAACTTTGTAAGACGTACATCTTTTTTGTTTAATTTTCAAGTATACTTCACATAATCCAATGCATAACTGATCTAAACTAGTAAAGGAATTATAGGTCAATCTGAAAATAAACAAAAACCCGAAGCTAATAAAAAAAACATATACACTGTCCATGCACATTCACAGAAGGATTCTGTAGTCCAGCTTTATTTAAGGTAAAAAGGAACTTCATTGCATGCATTAAATACCTCTTCTGTATCCAGATCCATCTTTTAATAATGTTAATTGCTGCTTTTTCCAGTCAGGAATCTTATAGAACGATACTAACAATTCGAATGTCCCTTCACCAGTTCCTTTGTTTCTGACCTGCTCGGTGGTTTGAAAATTGGCGCAAATAGCCAACACCGGATATAAAGATTAAGCTGTTCTAGGAAACTTCTACAATTCTAGAGAATTCAACCCTAAACACGTCTGTAAAGTAATTTCCCATGTGGTTAGATGCAAATGCTATACTAAGAAAACACTGTTGCAAGATACCAAGTCTAACAAACTATAAAGAAATCACAATCAGCAGAAATGAAAGACTAACAAACCACTTTACTTATTTTTAGAAACAGTGGTTTGCTTGTGTTTCATTAAATGCTATACTATCAAACTACTTTAACAAATCATAAAAATATAGTTTGTTGGTAGTTTGTTGATGGTTTAATAGTAGTTTGTTAAAAATCTTTTCCGTTTGGGATGTTATAGAACATTCAGGCATTGAAGCATTAAAATTATTTATTATACCTCTACTGATTTTTCCCTATACAAAATTAAGTGATTAGATCTGAAAAATTCCCTAGAAATCACTGTGAATCAGCTAATCCTAGTGCGTTAGTTTTTTTTTTGAGCTAATCTCTCCATGGAAAGCTAATTCACTGTTATCTGTAATCCTCTAGTTTTTCAATAAATATAAATAGTGATTTTATTCAGTTTATATGAGAGTAATGATTAGTTAATCTGTAAATGAATATTTCTTTTTAAAAAGGTGATTTTTACAATTTAAATTTGTATCAGTATAATAAAACAGTTAAATTATTATCATGATTATCATAAATAAAAGTATATCATTGAGGGAGTTAGCAAGACTCCAGTTCTCCTCAACCAAGACTATTTCCCTCGGCACGCTGGTAATGGTGACTTCTATTGCCTGAAATCTTTCACTTTTCATACCCTTTCACACATATTTGCGTTTACCAGGTGTGGGGGGGGGGGGGGGTTCAGCGTTTTCCAAGGGGTCCAGGTTAACTTTTTTCTTGCTTTTGTATATACATTTTTTAACCTGGTTAATTCCAGGGGGTCCTGACCCCCCCCCCCCTCTAGATCCGCGCATGCAATAACTTGAACTCATGAACTCAGAGTATTTCCTATGAACTAGCTGCAGATCTGTAGCGTTATGGTTTTATATAGTAGTCTTGACCATAAAGTGTTACAGTCAAGACTACTTTATAAAACCATAACGCTACAGATCTGCAGCTACCTATGAACATGATGAACAAGCCAGAGAGTTCCAAATGATTAACATGGCATGCAAATTTGAAGTGAGAAAAAAACTCTGAGAAAATTGGTTGAATTTTTTGTCTTTCTATGGATTAATTTTGGGATAAAAGGCATACACAACCTCAAATAGTTTTTTTCATTTACCGGTATTTGGTAATTATTAAAGCAATATGAGCTGCAACTTGGCAATCGGCAATCCTCGGCTGACTCCGCTATGCTAAATTCAAACCTCGGATGTGATTAGTGGAGGAATACGCAACAGATCCTTACATTTCTCCACCGGAAACTGCCTTATCACTCATTTCATATTTCGCTCTGCATAAGGTTATTGGAAAATGTTTCTTATTTTCTGCAATTCATTCTCGTAAACAGGTTTTGATTACATCCTCATGTTAAAAGGCTTTAAAAGCAAGAAAAAAATGAGTGTGCCACAAAATAACTCCGATTTCAAATGTATGACATTTGAAATAAATTCCAAGAAGATCACATGACAGAATCAGCAAGATGGTAGATCACCGTTGACGTCCGAGGTTATGTGCGAGGTACGAGTCATCCGAGGAACTCCGAGTGGCAACTTGGATGTCAAAAATTTTTATTACAAAATTGTAATTATACCTAGGACAGAGAAAAAGAATATTTATAAACATTTGTTGCTCATAGTTGCAATGGAAGAACTACTGATATAATTATAAAGGTTTGATTGAAGCAAAATTACATTACTGTCATCCTGTACAATACCAGGTATTGATTTCTTTAATAATACTATATACAAAAGTTTTTCTTCTGAAACAATATTTTTTTTAGCCTTATATATTGAACATAATTAAAGGTTTAAATTACCAGGTACATATATATTTATCATAACAACATGTTGTAATAGCTGAATAAAATTATCAAAAATAAAGCTTAATTATCATGATTATATTGTTTTAAAATTTTTTTAGCACAATCCCTGTTGTATTCTACAAAATCATTTCAGAGTGGATCTGATATGCTATAGTGCAACTATATTCTAAGATGTGGTAAGGGCTTGGCCGGCTAAACATTTTTCTGATTACTGTAAAACAAACTTTTATTTGCGTGCGAGAAATTTTCGTGATGTTTGCAAGAGCCTTGTCATCGCGAACTAGTTCTTAGAGTCTATCTGTGTATTAACTACAGAACCTAGTCTCGTTTTTCTTAGACTCTCGCTCTCGAGACTTTGCTCGGGCAAAGTCTCGAGAGCGAGAGTCTGGGAAAAACAAGACTACTACAGAACCTAAATAGGCTTGATTGCGAAAATTAATTGTCGCGAACAAGTTTACCCCCGGTAAATCACGAAATAAAGTCATCACGAATAAAAGTTGGTTTACAGTATAGTGCCATGAAGGAGTGAGCATCCCCTACTAACATACCATGTACTCCTTCTCATAACAGGGGGAATAAAAAGGAAAAATTGTTGACATGTAAATAATTGCCTAACAATTGCCGGTTGTATGAAAATGACAGTCAGCATTTGACAAAATGATACAGATAGGTTGTATTCGCTGACAAGATCACTGTATTGGCCATAAAACTTGCAAAATGATGACTTCAAGTGAGACTTGATATTCTTGTGTCATCAACTTGTTTAAATATTATAGCTTGCTTCATTTTAGAAATTGTTCATACCAGAGCATGCTCTTCCTATCCAATCATAATTAAGGGAAGTTGACAATAGAGAAGAAAAGTTATCATTTTTTCATTTAGCTTTGTTGTACATTTACCATTAACATCTTTTTCAAGTAAAATATCCAAATATATGTCAGACTCTATGATATCTTTTATTTCAAGCTCATTGGAATATATCATGTAGACTTAGGAATTGAAGTAACTGAGTTTAAGAATTACGACAGATTATGAAAGACCTGGTCTCCAAAGACTATATAGATATTGCCAATCAGAAACTCAAGCATATCAACGTCAAAGTAACTGTGTGTTTACAAGTAACTGTGTGTTTACAATCAGAATGTTTACTAACAAAAAATCTTGCAAATGACCTATGACAAGTTAAATAAATTTATAAGTTCTATTTTTAGCTCTACTGGTCAGAGACCAGAAGAGCTTATGCGATAGTAATGCGTCCATTGTCCGTCCGTCTGTCTGTCTGTCTGTCTGTCTGTCTAGCTGTCTGTCCGTCTGTCTGTCTGTAAACAATTTTTCAAATTGCTACTTCTCCTACAGTTTTAGTCTGATTTCAGTATAACTTGGCACACAAGTAGACTACACTAAGATACATAATTCTGTGTATCGGTTTTTGATTTTGATGAACGGTGTTGCCGTGGTTACTAAAAATAGAAATTTCTGTGAAATTCTTTCAAAATGCTACTCCTCCTACAGTTTTGGTCTGATTTCAATATAACTTGGCACACAAGTAGACTACACAAAGATACATTATTCTGTGTATCCGTTTTTGATTTTGATGAACGGTGTTGCCGTGGTTACTAAAAATAAAAATTTCTGTGAAATTCTTTCAAAATGCTACTCCTCCTACAGTTTTGGTCTGATTTCAATATAACTTGGCACACAAGTAGACTACACTAAGATACATAATTCTGTGTATCGGTTTTTGATTTCATTGAATGGTGTTGCCGTGGTTACTAAAAATAGAAATTTCTGTGAAATTCTTTCAAAATGCTACTCCTCGTACAGTTTTGGTCTGATTTCAATATAACTTGGCACACAGGTAGACTACACTAAGATACATTATTCTGTGTATCGGTTTTTGATTTCAATGAACGGTGTTGCCGTGGTTACTAAAAATAGAAATTTCTGTGAAATTCTTTCAAAATGCTACTCCTCCTACAGTTTTGGTCTGATTTCAATATAACTTGGCACACAAGTAGACTACACAAAGATACATTATTCTGTTTATCAGTTTTTGATTTTGATGAACAGTGTTGCCATGGTTACTAAAAATAGAAATTTCTGTGAACAGAAATTCTTTCAAAATGCTACTCCTCCTACAGTTTTGGTCTGATTTCAATATAACTTGGCACACAAGTAGACTACACTAAGATACATAATTCTATTTATCCATTTTTGATTTCGATGAACGGTGTTGCCGTGGTTACTAAAAATAGAAATTTCTGTGAAATTCTTTCAAAATGCTACTCCTCCTACAGTTTTGGTCTGATTTCAATATAACTTGGCACACAAGTAGACTACACTAAGATACATTATTCTGTATATCCGTTTTTGATTTCGATGAACGGTGTTGCCGTGGTTACTAAAAATAGAAATTTCTGTGAAATTCTTTCAAAATGCTACTCCTCCTACAGTTTTGGTTTGATTTCAATATAACTTGGCACACAAGTAGACATCACTAAGATACATAATTCTGTGTATTGGTTTTTGATTTCGATGAACGGTGTTGCCGTGGTTACTAAAAATAGAAATTTCTGTGAAATTCTTTCAAAATGCTACTCCAAATACAGTTTTAGTCTGATTATAAAATAATGTGGCATGCAAGCAGACTACACTAAGAACATAAAGAGACTTAATCAAGGATCATTATTCTATTTATTGCTGTTGAAAAGTTTCAATTCCCAACTGCTTTTAAGTACTTTTCTCTTCCTTTGCTATAATTACAAACCAGTAGAGCTTCAGTCTCGACAGAGACTTCTGGTTATTGAAAAAGATCCCTAGAAAGCTTCACTTTGGGAAATATGTCTGTCCTTGGGGAACTGGAATCTCACCAACTCCCTCAATGGATTACATGTACTCTAATTGTATACATCGAAAGATAATTCTTGGTACTTGTACATAATTGCATAATATTCAGTAAATGTTATGTCTGCTAGAGGATTTTTTCAATTGATGAGAAAATATTTTATAGGATAAAACGAGCTGTTGTACATATAAATGAACTGGATATATCAAAGTTTCCCTTACTGTTGACAAGGATTCTTTCTAAGCTTCATTTGAAGGTAAGTATCACATGCAAATTAAGGCTAATTCATATACAAATATTAAAGTTGATACAGATATGTACATGTAGATGATGGAATATAATTTCAATGATTGATTGATTTGTTGTTTAACATCCCTTTTGAGAATTTTTAACTCGTATGGAGATGCCACTACTTGTCTGTGAATGGCTAATTCTGACCTATACTATGCACTTATGGGTGCCTATTGAGTTGTGAGGGATCTTTTTTGTGCAAGCACTATACTGCAACATGGGACTGTGAAAAGATGACTATCAAACCATCCAAATACAGTAAAACACACTTACCAGTATATTTTGTAATTCCATATTTTTTCTGGTAGGCCAATTCATTTAATTATTAAAAAAAATGTTTTATCTGGCATCAAACTGCATTGCATTCGATTTATTATTCTAGGATGAAAGAACTTTCTCAGAAGAGGAGGAGGAGAAACTCCAGTCCTCACTGTCCCTATCTGATACTGACCTAGAATTAGTCATTCATACACTGGAGTTCATACTACATCAGGTAATGTAAAACAATTCATCAGCTCACCTTAACCAAGTGAGCTTTTTTGACCAGGGGATCCAAGTTTTTCTCAAATTCAGCAAAGCATGAGCAATATTAATATAGAAGCATCCTCAGCTAGTGCTAAAATTTCATTGTAGTGTGTATTTATATTAATACAGAGCAATGACTGAAATTTGTGAAAATTTTGTCCTGCTTCTTTAAATACCAATTAATAGGTCATTAAAATAAGTTAAGTGTTCTACAATCATATAAATTTATAAAGAAGTACTGAATGGCAACAAACCTTTAGGATAAATTCTATTTAGTCTTCATTATAATAATGCAAGTTTTGTCAATTTTTGTCTCTTCTAGGCAGCTTATCACACAGCTAAACCAGGGATTTTAGGCCAGCAGCTTCAACAGTTAGAGCTAGAGGAGGAAAAAGTATGCAACATTTTCCATCTTTCATGTAATACATGTAATACAAGTAGAAAACTTGATGATTTAATTCTCTGCATTCTGTTGGTGGTTACACACAGACAGAATGACAGACAGCGAGACATGCTGGTATAAGTTGTTAAAATTATTTTCTAATTTTTCGGATTTGAGTGAATTGAAGATGACTGATGGCAGAACAAACCTATTTTTTTATAGGTAAGAGTTATTGTTGATGCATGGAAGAGCACAGCAGCAGATGTAGTAACAAAGCTTCGACAGAGAAGCATCACACCTAAACGTCTGGAGGACATCAACTGGAGGCTGAACCTTCAGATGGCCCAGTCCAGCAAGGCCAAGATGAAGCTCCCCAATGCCATGTTTGAACTGGGAGTCAGGGATGAAAACTCCGAGGTTAGTTAATTAATTACATGTTCAGGGTTAGAAGTTTGATTGATCATTTGTTCATTACAAAGTTGATCAATTCTCTATGAAAAATATAATGAAACTCTACTGGAATAGAGCCTGAAGAAAAATGTAGCTATACTGCACATGTAAAACCATTCACATACAGATAAACTGAACTTCAAAGCATATTCAATTATTTATTTTATATATGTAATATATTTTGTATATTCAACCCAAAATGTTGAATAAAAAAAGAAAAACATATCAGAATTATTTTGGTTATATTTCTTCAAATGTATCAATATGCTTATCGTCCTCACTCAAATCTATATTAATGATATCTCGTCCTAGCCTTAATATTGGTACATGTAGTTAAATTCTTTGTTGTGGAAACTATTTTTCATTACTCATTATAAACAACCAGTATAGACTTTAGTTACTAATAATACTAAGCTTATTTAATATTATAAGATTCCTATATTTTATTTCTTTAGAACAAAGAGAAAATTCACTTTGAGATGACACATGATGAATTATACTCATTCTACAACCAGGTATGATGTAAAATATATTTTATGTATTCAGCTGAATACAACTCTATATAGACATACTGTATAATCCCTATTAACAATCCCAGTAAGCGCCCCCTTAGGTCTTTTTCAATTGTCAGGAAATAAGGGCCCCCTGTAGGGGTGCGCAATGTGTACATTTCTCCGGGATGAAATGAACCACTTGGTAGCGTCAAATGCGTTCTGGTAAAATTATAGATGGTGGCTAAGCCTTTTCTTTTCAAAACATTTCTCACATTCTACAACTGGTTTCCCAAGCGGTTCGAAGCTGAATTTTCTTGCCCTCTGCAGCCCCATAAATTGCATTTCACAGCCTATAAAGTATTTCATCCTCAGTTGTTGGAGTTTCCTCCACTTCCTACTTTATAAAAACTGCCCAGGAAGGTTAATAGGGTTTATACAGTACACCATTTTCGATATTACTATATCTATATAATTATCTAATTCTATGATATCAGCACCAGAATAAATTTCGAAATTGTTACACCTGACCGCTTTAGCATCACAGTTATTGGTGTGGAATGGCAAACTGTATTTGTGCTGATTAGTTTGTTTGTATACCCCACTGACCTGTGCAACTGCTTTAAGTTTCTTTGGTATCTTATTTTCCTGCATTAGAATAGAAAAGTACACAGTAATTTTTGTCACTACCGAGTGCTGTGTAGCATACGTCCTTCTACAATGGGGACGACTAATTACACTGAACAGTGACTTAACTTGGCTCTACATATAGAGGTCCTCAGATATAGTGAGAGTCCGATTGAATATGGCAGACACATTTCTTTTGCGAATCAAGCTCAGCTTTAATAAAGGTTTTCAGATGATGAGGAAAATTATTGGCTTTTTTTTTTAAGTTTCATTTTCAAGAGGCTAATATAAGTCCCCTTTTTGCAACCTGAATCAGTAATTTTGTATCAAATCATGGTAACTGATTGTCCAGGAAATTGCTATTAACCCATTTATGTCTGTTTAAAATAAGAGAAACAACCATACAAGATTTAAGTAAGTACCAGGTGTTTCAATTATTGGATTTCAAGTTTGCCAAGTAAATTTCATCTTTTTTTGGGGGGGTGGGGGGTGGGGGTTATAGTTTTGCTTTCATCTGGTATGAGTTAGCACAGCTTTTAATAAAATTCATTATTTTTCATAATTTCAATATCTACCGTAATCACGACAGAATTGTTCTAGGGTTAGGTTTGTGTAGAATGTTAATACCAGTGATATTGTTAATGTTAATAGTACAAGAGATATTGAAGCCTTATTGTAAATGTATTATTTTTGGCATTTATGATATTTGGTGGAAATTCATTTTTCAGTCAGTTAGCACATATTCAATTTTTTTTAGCTTGAAACAATACAAAAACAACTGGATGGTCTAGGCTGAAAAACTTGGCAAGAAGAACCAAATGGTATTGGTCAAAAAGTTCAGGAGTTTTTCCAAGAGCAAAAGTTAAAACACTTTGAAAAGTCAGTGTGACCAGGTCATCATTGTCATGTCTTGTGATTTGTCTTGCCATGAACAATATCAAATATTTTATGTACATATAAATTGTAATTCATGTATTTATTAGATAAGATGAAATATGCTTTAATTAACATTCCTAATTCTTTCATTAAACTTTTATTTCATTCTTCCTGCTTTTAAAATTATTAATGATTTGAGAGAACAGGGCAATCTTCTTCCTAGGATGGGAGATAAACCGTGCTCAGCTTCAACAGAAGGGCCATTCCTTTTCATGGTTATTGGGATAGTTTTGCAAAATTAAACCAAGATCGATGTTTATCTCTCCTGGGTCCATTATACTGACCCAATGTGGTTTTAAGTTATCATTATATGAAAATATATCTTTGAACATCCCTTCATTTCTCATAAAGACAAAACAAGAGGGCCAAGTGTTTATTAATTTCATTCAAACAGATTAGCCTCCCTCTAGAGCCTGACCCCTGGACCCAGAGGATATTAATTTTACAATTTTGATACTCTGTGATTACTCATTGTAATCATGAACTGTTTGACTGCAAAATAAAGAAGATTTTCAAAGACATATTTTTATCTTGTCCCTATCCTTAGTCCTGAATGATGGGCCTAGGAGACATTTTATAATTAGATAGTACTCATACATATTAATGCAAACAATTTGTCTGGAATATCTTTGAGAAAAGACTTTCAAATGTGATATGTACATGTATTAACAGGACCAACTTGGTCCTACCCAGAGCAACCAGGGAATAAATATTTATTGTTCACAAAGAAAAATTTTGCCGTTTCCATTTTCTCTGTGTTTTTCAAATGCCATCTCAAAATATCACTACCTATATGTTCTTATAAACATTTTACTTTACTATTTTTGCAAAATAATTTTGTGAATAATTTTGTAATAAAAGATTTTGACAAAGCATTTCTTACAACCATCACTTATAGCCTGAAATGAGACTGTTGAAAATTTCACCTCTTATACTACCATTTTGGGTGGTAAGTTAATGTACTGTAGCTCAAAGTGATTTGTGCCGGATGTCAACTATACAAATTGTTTATAAGGAATTTTTGGAACTCTGCATTTTGTACAGTAATATTTGAGAGAAATTAATCTAAAATTAAGGAGGAATGTCACACCAACTTTTTATTCTATAGATCTCTGAGTTAACCTTTTTAAACAACGGTTTCAGCATTGAAAGACCATCATTAGCTTTCAATTATTTTATATGAATTTTTTTGTATTTTTTCAAAGAAAATTCAAAAAATTATTTGCATCCAAATAAGATGCTTTTTTGTAAAATGTTTGCTGTAAATGAATGCATCACATGAATACCTAATAAAATATATAAAGAAAAGCCTTATAGATATTAAATTCTTTTAAATAAAAAAAATATTTATGAAAATAAAACACATAATTTGTGAATATTTTTTAGCTCACCTCAACGAAGTTTTTGATGCATGTTTCATTTCCAATTAATTATGAGCCCTATAATGAGCAAACTTGCATGGATGATGCATCTTAGGATGCACACTAATGGACTTGCTTCAGATGCTGAATTCGACATACATTTTCAGATAATAGACCAGGTAAAAGTTATGGGTGCAGGTCTATTACCAAAAAACTATAAGGCTTATATGACATTGTATAAACCAAACTTGCACAAATGTTGCATCAAGAGATGAAAACTCTCAAATTTGCTTCAGATGCTGGATTTTAATTACATTTTCATGAAGAAGAACTAGTTTAAATTTTTTATGTAGGTCTTTTTCAAAATCAGATTAAAATTGCTTAAATATTTTCATTTTCGGAATGTACACTTCTTGTTGGTTAACTGTGTGACTTTGCCTTACTTAAAGACAATATTCGTTGAGGTGAGCTCTGAAATCTCTGATTACCTATGTTTTAAACTTGTGGTTAAAATCTTCTTTAAACCAGTCATAACTTCGGAGAACATGTTCATAAATCATATTTATAAAAGAAATTGAAACAAAATAGCCGAATTTTAGAGAAATTAATTTTTTTAAATTTTGGCCAATCCCGATCAAAATTAAACCGATCCCAACCATAATTGTAAATTATTGGAAATAAATAACATTTTCCCAAGAACACTAGTCTGATTGGGTGTTATAAGGGATAAAACATTATTGAACCTGACAATAAAATAGATTTCTTCATTGTAAATACATGAAGAGGCAATAAATTAGCATTTTGTTCATTTTGTATTAATTTTGATCGGGTTAGGTCAAAATATTAAAAAAAATTAATTTCTCTAAAATTTCTCAATTTCGTTTCAATTTCTTTTTAAAATATGATTGACAAACATGTTGTCCTTAGTTGTGACTAGTTTTATTGTGTTTTTAACCATAGGTTTAAAAAATATTCATAAATAAGATGTTTTATTTTCCTAAATATTTTTTTCTAAAAAAAATTCAAGTCTTACCAGCCTTTCTTTACATATTTTATAAGATATTTATATGATGCATTCATTTACAGCAAACTTTTAACTCAAAAACAACCTATTTGGATATAAATGATTTTTTTCATATTCTTTGAAAAAATACAAAAGAATTAAGAGCAAATAACGGCCTTTCAATGCTGAAACCATTGTTTAAAAAGGATGACTCAAAGATCCATAAAATAAAAATTTGGTGTGGCATTCCACCTTAAGCACAACTATTTTTGCACAATAATTATAATTTTTCTGATGAGTTGCATAGCAGATATCTAGTCTTCAATCAATTTTTAATTGGATCGACAAGCTACTGATCTGCAGCTTTTATGCCAACAGTTTATCAACTCAGACATGCAGTAAGGGGGGAAATGGGAATACATGCTTTTAAATAAAATTTGTATATAAATACTGACTGTGTAAAATAATACCAGTTCAATATTAAAGAGAATCTTGATCCTCACTTTATATGCACATTCTTGGTGATGTACCTTTCGTAACATGCACTCACAGGTTGTGTTCATATGACTATGAATGCAGCATCATCTGCTATGACTAGAGTTCATTTAAATACATAAAGTTACAATATTGATGTATTATTTATGTATCATTTTACAAGTACACATATAAGAGAATCAATTGTTCTGAACTCTTATCACAGTCATTGAAAAGAATCGTATCTGTAGCTATTAATGTCCATGAATTCAGAGAGATGACAGAATATTACACAATCATTTCTAAACGTATCTGTAGCTATTAACGTCAATGAAATCAGAGAGATGATGGAATACTACACAATCATTTCTAGTTCTCTGGCGTACTCTATGGTCTGCTCTGCTAACAGCTTGGCTGGAATCACTTCATCAGTATCTTTCTTCTCATGCTGAAAATGGAAGAATCCGTCTGGAGGCAGGGTCCATCCTCTCTGAAATTATATAAACATTTGAATTCACCTTTCATACAGTTAATTTTATACATGTACCAGTTTCAAAAAATTTCCTTTGTCATTTGTTAGGAAATAGAAAGAAGACTTTTATTCTTAATCTAAATATAAATCATAATCCATGTCTTCCTTCATTCATTTGACATTACAATGTTATGGTATTCGGATTTAGTTGGTAAATATCATTTACCTTTCTGTAACAATACAGAGAAGGAAAGGTCATTTTAAAGGGTTACCTGAACGGCATAGTCTTTCATAGGTTTAGCATTTTCAAAAAACAACATTCTAGCTGCTTCATTAAGTGCTATCTTCTCATAAGCCTTCTCTATACAACTGGCAATCTCATTCCTGGAAAAAACAAGTACCCAATGTTTAAAGTGCTTTCTGTGCTTGTGGTAAGTGGAATTTATATTCAATGACTTTATGATAAGTTTTTGGTAATCAAATGATGTATTTTATTTATCTCACTTAACAAACCAAAGTGCAGAAAGGTCAGAATCAAATGAAGGTGATCAACTCCAAATCTGCATCCACTTTTAATTTTATGTTAATGCAGATATTATACAATACTGTGGTACTTTTTTTCCACATGGTATTAATTCTACAGTACTTAACTTTCATTGAAGCCAATAATGGGTTTTACATTTTTCAAAGAATACATTTATTTATAAAATTAATGCTCTTGATGTTCAACTTAGCAGCAGGAGTTGAGTGATATATGGGGCTTTAAGGACACATGTTCACAGTTAAACTATAGACAAAATTTCTTGTCCCCATAGGCCTACCTTATTGTATCTAATAGTATATCAATGAAAAAGTTATAGTTTTCTGCTGGAACATTTCCTTTTGCAAGAAAAACCTGTAAATAAATAATCATGCATTTAGTGTATAGATAATTAATAGATCTAATCATTATTATATCTCCTACAATTTTTTTTTTTGAATTTTCAATATAATATTCTCAATATTTTATTGCTTTGCAATTAAAAAAATATATACCTTGTTATAACTGCCTTCCATCAAATACTGCTCCATGGAAACAGGATGTTTAATGTAAATATTATTTTGTAATTCTTTGACTGGCAATAATTCTAATTCCTGAAAATAAACCAAAATTTGTAATTTTAGACTTTTTCCAATTACAAAAAAGTCCCTTTGATAAATTTTTTAAACAAAACAACACCCCTCTGAGCCATTAAAGTTCTAAGACAACAATAATATTGATGAAAATTTCAAACTCAAAAAAATTATTACCTTAATGGTTATATTTACAACATGATCAATCTCATAACAAGAATTTTTTTTTTGCAATAAAAAAACTAGATGACATTTGAGCTCCAAGAGCCTGACGCCATCAAAATTTGAGAGACCTAGTAAACATGTTTTAAACAACATGGTAATAAGCTTCTTGAGACTGCTGTTGCTAAAATTGAAATTCCAGTATTAAAGGTAAGTTTCTTCTTGTTCTCGAGCATAATAAAGAGGTGAACCTTAAATGGGTTCAAATTCAATCGCAGGAAATGGAGACTTGTCCTTCAGATAAAACTGTATAAACTCAAGTTCCAAGTTGCGATAGAAGATGGCACAAAACAATCCCT